ATTATGACAGACATGGTAACAGTGGAGATATTTAATTTATCACCCTATTTCTAAAAACGTTGTTTGTTTGTGGTTTCCTTTATTTCTTTGCTTACCTAAACCCAGTTGTCCTTGCTGCATGGTGGGTTCTAAATACAGGTAAGAGAAGGTTCGTTTCCTCTGCGCCCTTTCACATAGGCTAATCCCTCCCGATTCTCCCTCTGCTCACATCTCTTTTTGGCACAGCAGACTAGATGCCCTGGCTTATACAACATTCTGTTAAAGGCAAACAAAAGCTTAGAAGCTTTCTACACGCCCTCTAGCATTACCTGTATATACTTTCCACTTGTTCTGCAGATTAGGAGGAGGTTTTTTCCCTTGTTTGTGGATTTCCTAGTTTAAGAGAGTGTTTGGGGCTTTAAGTAATGCTAAAGGTCTGCAACATGGCAAGCCTTTTAAACTCCGCATGTCCTTTTTGTTCATTTTTTCCTTTCTGTTGTTAAAGGGTGTGCAAACGCCTCCTTTAACAAGTAAGCATTGCCTAGCATTATTTTCAACATTACTCACAATTACCAACCTTAAAACACAAGCAGTCTTAACGACACAAGTTATTTCTGCCAGATCATAAAAAACCCTATTCCAACCAACCATGATAACTGAATCCAGAAGCATCTTCCTTCTCTGACTCAGAAAGAAGCTCGCCTGCATTCCGAAGGGTTGTTTTCTTTTCCTTTTATACGAAACAGCCAAGCAATAGATAAACACTGCATATACACTATGCAACAAGAGAAACGTATATCATACCAAAAACTGAAGAAAAAATTTTAAACCTTCAGTTAAGGAGCATTAAAATTTCTGGCGAGAATCTGGTATCTCTACTCACACTAAACACCCTATTTTCACCCAGCAACCAGACTGAAATGTAAATACATTCCTTGAAATGGACTAATTAAGAGCAGAAGGAGATACCAGAAACTTAGGAGAATGACGCAATATGTAAGTGACAAAAAACACATATCCTCATTGCTAGTATATTCAGAATACTGTCATAGTTCCAGGCCAGCTCCATCAACTTTACTGTAAATGCAAAGGTGCCCTATTAGGCATAGTAAAGGTATAGTACAGGTTTGTAAATAGAAATATTTAAGGCATCTGGCAATGATGCAGGCCATATAGTGACTTACAGTCTTAGAATGTATTGTAGACAAAAACAAACAGATAGCACACATAATTCCACTGAGTAGAATAACACAAACCAGCAACAAATGCAGGTGTAAGTCTGATATCTGAGTGTATTAAATATCAGTGTTGAATGATGCAATGGTGGACCTCTCGGTGCCTCTATCACAGAGTATCTTTCCAGAACAGAACATCCTTTTTCTAAGAGAATCAGTATTTAGCTGGAAATCAGCTTGCTACTTAATGTACTGTCTAGTGTGCAAGTTAAAGAACAGGGTGTAGCCAACACAAGTAACCACAAGCATTTTTATTATAAGGATATTCCTGCAGATAGTTTATGTAAGCCATCTGTTTAAATCCTGAAGTAAGGCAATCCCACACTATGACAAAATAAGAAAGGAAGAGAACATGAAGTGCCAGCAGAATATAACTAATATCCCAATAACAAAACTAATCAGGCAACTGAAAACTAATTCTAAACGCAGCAAGATTAAGATTTCAGATACAAGAAGACAGTAGAATAACATACTCTCTGCCTTACAGAAAGAGCAGAGCCAGAATAGCTGATAATTTTTCACATATCTGATACATCAAGGTATTAGGATTCCTTCATTTTTATTTTTTTTTTATCAGAACAAGTTGTAAGTTTTTCCACATTGTCATTCATAGACTGAAAACAAATATTGTGTGGCCTTCTTTCCAAGCATCCCACAACTGGAGATGAGATTGCCAGTTTTAAAGTACTTAAATGCCACAATAGACTTCAATGACAGTTCACAACAAAGTAATAACTTGTAATGCTTTTATTTCTAACGTAAGTTGAAATCATATTACCACAAACTCAGTAAGAGTTTTGTTAGCAAGTTCCAAACATAAATTTGAACGTTGCTCCTTCTACTTACTAGGGACAATCTCATCATGCAAATTAACGTATACTAGATCTCGGGCCTCTCCCAGCCAACAAGACATTTACTCAAGTACCTTCGGTTTGGGAAACGGAGCACGTTATACGATGTGAAAGAACACCAGATGGGAAAAGTTCAGCACAAAACGTTGACGATTTACACTTAAGCTGATAGAGCAAGCTGATGACAAATCTCTCCAATAAAATGTTCCACTTAGCTCAGCTCCTTCTTGCCCTATAACATCTCTTAAAAAGAGATCCTGGTAAGTAAAAGAAAGACGACAGGCAGATTGCAGAAGCATCTTGCAGAGAAGCGGGAAAATTAATCTTAAGATTCCATAAATTTGAAAAAAATTTAAAAAATCCTTAGAATCACTGGCAGTAAAACACAACAGCAATTTAAGCGAAGCAATACAGATGCTATTTCAAATGTCCTATTTCACACTGCGATGCTCATTCAGAGATTAAGCAGGCATTCAGCATAAAGAACTCATTACCACTTCAGCAAGTTTTTATCCTGCAAGGAACAGGTGTAGCTCTCAGAAAACCTGTACCACACAGCCGAAACGATCCATGAGAGTTTAATGCCAGCAGCATTGCTTGGTGCATCACCTGTGCCCCTCAGTTCCCAAGTATTAACTGCAAGTATTAACTGTCTTCTCTATCATGAGTCTACAGCTGAACAACACACGGCTACAACCCGTAAAAACTGTAAAAGTGCAGGATGAACGCAGTGACAAGAACACGTGTTGTTTTTTCTTATTGTTTGCTTCCTGTAGACACAGGTACAGTTTATTTATGGCACATCACCTATGTAGATTCAAGGATATTTGTTTTTGATTTGTTGTATTTGTTTTGATTACGGTTGGACTCGATGATCTTAGAAGTCTTTTCCAACCTTAATGACTCTATAATGATTCTGTGTTGAGGTGCCAAGTTGTAAATTGCTTTGCATGTTTATTCTAACATTTGGGATGAAGGTGCAAATCTATTCAAAAGCTAGTCAATGCATTTTTTTTCAGTCTGTGTGATGAATACTGAACTGGATTCCATTTTGCCCCCGTTGCCCACAGATTTATCCACTGTATATACACATTATCACACAGATATGACTGGTCACAATAGCATATCCTGTCCTCTGACAAACCAATGACCACCAGGTAAGGTACGGGCTCCAAAGTGTTGCATGCAAGGACCAAAATTCCTAACAGTATACCAGCACAACGATGGCAGAAAAAAAAAAGTGTACTAAACAGAAATAGTAAAGAAATAAAAAAGATTTAAAGGCTTATTTGTAGATCATGTATGGTTTATATTCCCTGTAACTCAGCTGCATGAAAGTTTTTCCTTCCTATTAGTATAAGGTTTATAATACACAAAAGTTTTATTACACGAGCAAGAACCATATTCTTCAAATGCTGCCAAATTTGAGTCCCAAGAGGCAGAGCTTGACATTAATCGTCTGTTCAGTACTACGTAAGTTTCAGACCATCTCTTACCAGTTTTTCCACTTCTATTTTTCCTGTATTTTACATTCCTAATATTGTGGTCTTCCACAAAATAATACTTTAGTTTTTTGATATGATCACTTGTATAGCTGACTTGCTATTAAACGCCTAAATAAAAGTTAAGGGGGTTTTTTTCTTCACTTGGTATCTCTCTATTCGTTCATTCACAGGAACAGCAATAGCAGTAACAGGTTAACTTTCTTCCAGAAAGTCACAAGATCAATACTTACTCCTTAAACGTGAACAATTTCATTAAGAAGTCAACCTGAAAGACAACTAAAAGGCAGACCATAGTTACCAGATCTGGGCAGGAATGACTACGTTGTGGAAAGTGAAACTGACCACACAATGGCTACAGAAAATTGAACGGCAAGAAGAGAGAAGTACAATTATCTTTGCTATTAAATTAAAAAAGTGGAAGGCTAGGAGAAACTAAAAATGACCCTGTTTCAAGCAAAACAGAAGAATCCAGATAAACTGTGTAAAACAGGGAAAACTCCCCGCATGTTCAATAGTTAAAACTACGGACAGATAGCATTTATTTTTAGAAAGAACACCCGTTTCTTAATAAAACTTTTCCCTCCGAGCTAATGGTGAGCCAAGCTGCTCTCCAAATCATATTGCACATGGGGACCTGAAGAACACTGGTTTAGAAAATTGGTCTGCCATCGTTTGTTGACAAGAAAAGGCTGAGAATTGACATTAGAAACAGTTCTAGCAAAATAAGAATAAATTCCCACCCTGACACGGTGTAGGAGGTAAGACTCTTTTTCAAAATTGTGTTGTTCTCCTCTGCAACATGCCAAAATAAACAAGTTTTCTATCTTTTTGCAATGCTTTCACTCAACATTCATGCTAGAAGAGACCGGCTTGCTCTGACTACCAAAAGAAAGTCTGAGAGGAGAAAGAATTATTATCTCTAAATACCTCAGAAAAAAGAAAAGAAAAAAAAATTAACAATTTGAGCCAAGTGACAATGAGAGCACAAGAACAAAGCTGTACAATGTCTATCAATACCTCTTCAAAAATTACTTTGATGTACTCGTTGAGTTCTGAACTAACTCTCCAGCAAGAGTAGCAGGAA